CTTTGTCCCTAATATTGTGACAAAGAAATAGAGCTAATTGTGCCTTTGCGCATTTGTGCGGTCATATCAAGCAAGCTGCTAAACTGTAACTGTAACCCGATGCACTTTGTGCAGGTCTCAGGCCTGTGTGATGATAAATCTGATGAGATGCTCTAAAAGGCCTCAGCTGTCTTAATTTCTTTCTAGAAGATAAAAATGTGTCATTAGATACAAAGAGGATGAGCTTGACCGCATTTTCTACTATAATGCAATTCTGACTCATCCATTGTGTCCTCCAGCAAAGCAACACATAGATACAATAGTGCTACTTACAGTGAATGAATTTTTATATCTTAATACTATGATGTAGATAAACCTTACACCACAGTGTATTCGGCCCCCTTGAACTTTTCCACATTTTGTCACATTACAGCCACAAACATGAATCAATTTTATTGGAATTCCACGTGAAAGATCAATATAAAGTGGTGTATACGTGAGAAGTGGAATGAAAAGTTCAAGGGGGCCGAATACTTTTGCAAGCCATTGTATGGTAACTTGACCTGCATCTTCATGGAAATGTCACTACAGCTGAAAAGAAGCATAATTCATTGTTATTGGTTCACATGTCTGAGGTGCTTCTGCTGCTTCCGTTTCAGGAACTTTTTTGCAGCCTAAATTTTCTCGTTCATTTGTCTCAGAGATTCATACACAAGCGCTCGCCAGCACTGGCGCCAGGCTCACAGAGCGCAGCAATGGTGAAATGGGTGTAAATTCCAAGTCATTACATAAAGACACTCTTTTATGATCCCTTAGTGTTGCATTTAAATGGACTGGGTATTCTTAAGTGGTAAAGGGGTGTATTTGAATCTAAACCACAATGTTTTCAGAACCCGAACCAAGCACTTTAGATGCCTGAACCTAACCAGCAAGTGAAAAAGCACAAAGCAAGCTCCCAAAATATGTCTCCTGGTTGAAAAAGAAAAAATTTCTAATTCATCTCCTTTAAACAGCTAGAGGACCTTAAGATGACAAAAATAATTTCCACTAACAAATTCCCAATGACTGTTGTCTTTGAAAATATACTAAACAAAGCTTGACTTTGTTCTTGTGAACCAACCACAAACAAGCAAAATAATGCGTCTGTAGTTGGATATACATTTAAATGCTAGCAATAAGCCTTCAAATCAGATGTGTTCAGTGGAGGAAATGAAACCCCTAAAGACTCTGAACCTTCACAAAGTACTACCCGCTTTGGAGGACATTTGTGGAACAAGGATCTAAACATTATTTAGGCTTGTCCTGTGAAGGTCCTTCAAACCAAGGAGATCCACTAGTAGAAGTGAAAAGAATAGTGAAATAATGCCTCGTTGCTCATAACAGAGCAAACAAATTAATAGTTGCTGTCTAAAGACAGTTTATGCTTTATTTCTTAATATTTTATATGCTAGTATTATATTTATATATATAAATATATAGGTGGTACATAGCACACCAGACCCTCAACACAGAAAATTTGCTATTTTCTTGTTCTTTGCTTCAAAAACACACATGAAAACCAAATTCTCTTCACAACTAATATCACACATGGATAACAGCCCTTCAGCCAGAGACGCTTATCCTGCAGACTGAGACCTTTATCAGCCGGAGCAGGAATGGAGCTCAGAGATTACAAGAGACTCAACGGGCGATCGCGATTTATTGTACACAGGAGATAAGACGCACAAACACGACTGCATACATGCACGGACCACACACAGTGTACACAGCAGATATCGCACACACTGACACATAATCATGTTCACACTCACAGACACAGGAATCACACACACACACACACACATGCACACTTCAAAAGCCGTGGCTGGATGGGATCAGCGCTCCCCTCGCCTCCCTCCTCTTAACCTTTAACCTCCATCTCTTCATTCTTCTGTCTCGCCGTCTATGTTCCCGTCTCTGTCTTTCATCTTTCTCACATTTGTTTCAATTTGCTGTCGTTTTTGCTTTTCTCAGTGTCTATAGCATATTCCACACCCAATTTTTTTGTCAAAGTTATTACTTTATTTTTTAGTTTAATGAGAATCTCCAACTCCTACAATGATGAGATCAAGACACTCTTACCCCTTTCAAGTTTGCAACAAATTGCACAAATTCATATGGGGATTTGGTGGAAAGTTCTACTTTCATATCAAGGATCTTGATTTAGTCTGAACTAATAAATGTAACAAGTTTATTTCTTTCACCCAGGAATGCAGTGACATCAGTAAAACCAAGCACTTTGGGTTTTCATATAACAAGTACAGCCTTCATCAGAACCAAAAGGACATGAGGATAAAGAGACAAATTTGCATCCAACTGTAGGAAAAAAAATGTAACTTTAAAGCAAATGCAGAAAGTCTTGAAAAGAAAATAGTTTTTACAAATGAATGAATTTTATGATTCTGAATCTTCAACACTATTAACGCACTGCACAAGACGAGTGGAAAAACGTGTTTTTTAAAGAATTTATTTAATGCAATGGTTAATACTGACATATTTTGGGTCTCTATGATGTGTTGATGACCCAGACCCAGTTTTACAGTGACTGTTTGAAGTTTTCTTGATTCATTCCACCTTGACGATATTCATGGTTTCAGATGCCCTGAGGCATTCCCACAGCATAATAGTCCCATCACTGTGTTTCACTCTGGGGACAATGTTCTTTATACGCCTCTGGCTTCTTTCTCCAAACATAAGCAGCGTCTCTGACACCAAAGACCCCGAATTTTGTCTCATCTTTCCAAAGGCCACACTTCCAGTATTCATAATCTTTTTCCAGGTTGTCCCTCACATACTTCAGTCTGGCATGAAGGTATCTCTTCTGCAGAGGTTTTTCTTGAACCTCACAATCCCTTCATGTGCAGGATTCTGGTGACTCTCTTTATTAACCAGTGTCTCTGCATTTTTTTGTAGAGTATTTAGACACATCTAAAGGCCTGGTATGAGACAACAAAATACATCTGCAACTTAAAGCGGGGACAAATGTTCCCTCTTCCCTGAAATCATCTCCAACTCTAAATCAAAAAAACTAAACCATTTCTTTATACTCAAACATCTTAAGCACAGTGCTAAATACCAAACATACCAGTGATTAAGCTGTGGGGTAATAGGATTAAAATGGTCAGACTAAATCACTAAATCCCATATAAGATCCAGTTTGTCACACCAAAGGGGCCTTTACTTAAATGTAATTTATTACAATTAAAGTTCTTCCTAAAATGAGATGTGGGAATCAGCCACGTTAGGAATGAGTGAGTGTAATGCGTGGATTTTAAGGGTGTGTCTTGGTGCTATGGCACATGCTACAGAGAAAGCGCTGCACAGCTATCACAAGAATGGAAACAAACTCATCAGAGCACGGGTCAGCCTTCCTTTGCTCGACCAATTATCCTCCGAAACACTGGTTTTCAGCATTTCTGGTTTTGTTTTCAGTCTAAACCGATAAAATGAGGTTTAGGTATAGTTTGAACTTCCTTTCTGTATATAGTTCCTGTGATTGCATGGATTTCCTCCACTGTCCAAAGACATGTCTTTTAGATCCAAACTGGTAGCAGGTGTGAATGTGAGGCTGTTTGGTTGTCTTTCTCTTTAGCCCTGTGATACACATACTGTCTGGGATAATATCTGCCATCACCCTGGTGTCAGCTGGGATAAGCTCCTTTTTCACCAAAGGAAAGTGATGAATGTCAAACCTAAAATCCTTAATGGAGTTCTTTAAAGTTAAATAAAGAAACGAGCACACAGAGCTGCTTTATTTTAAATTATACTTTATTTCATATAAAAACAAAACAATAAACAAATAAATTAGATATTTCTAAAATAATTCTCTTGAGGAAATGTTTAAGAATGCCATGATTGTTTACAATTGGTATTTGAGAGAAGAGCAGGTAACAGGAATGTAAAAATATCAATGCTTTTTGAACACTTTGTGGATAAAACGTCTTTTCAAAATGACGTAGAAGCTGAGCGATAGCTTAACATGAGAAGAGGCCATACACGAATCCTTTGCTGACAAGATGGTTGTTTTTCTTCAAAGACAATAAAATGATTGATGAATTTACAGCATCTTTTTAAAGTAAAACCCTCCTTTTTTCTATTTGAACATATTAAAGATATGAAGGTTTTGGGCTGGCGATGCAAATATTGTTTAGGTTTGTCTGCAGTCAGCTCCAGGAGGCGGGTTGAGAATCAGTTGGCATTTTAGCCCACAGGGGAATTGTCTACAGCTGGTCCTGGTGGCAGTGGTGGGGCTGCAAATCTGAATTAAGATTTGTAATTTAAAAGATGGAGGCTTTGTGGATAAAGATAGGGAGAGAAGAGGAGATATTACCATAATAAGAGCCTCTTCATTTGCACACAAGCCCAAGCTATGCCCACAACACCACCCCCAAACTCCCTCTGGTCTGTAGTCACACCCATTAAGCCTGCAAAGCTTTCATTGTCCAGCCAGGCTGCGGACCTGAGGACCTATTGCCAACAGATCTGGCTGGGTGAAGGGTTACGCGGAGACAATAGGTGTCCCTCCCCCTCCTCCCTTATTTGAAATCAATCACACAGGCTTTCACATTCAGTGTCCCCCACCCTCCCCATGCTTCTCAGCAGTGACACTGGGCTTGGGCCAGCTCCCAACAGAGTCCTCATGCTAAAATCGTCAGTGCTCCTTTCAGAACGAGTCCCACCCTGGACACACTGTCCCTCACAGAGCATTCATGTAAGAGTAGAGCTGTTGTTAAAGGAGCACCACGTAATGTCGCCTCAAAGGGCATGTGGTAGCTTGTATGAGTAAACAAGCCACACTCGCAACCTCTGCTTCTTTGAGACACGTTCAAAACTTATCTCAACTGTCTTCTTGTGGTTTTGAACCTTGTCTTCGACTTGAGATTAAAAACAAAAAGAAAAATTGTGGGAGGGGGGGCAGACTTTGTTCCCAAATTTCCCAAGCTGAGGTCACGCTTAAAGGCCCAAGCTATCTATTTTTTTTCTTGCCACAAAAGCACTTAAGGCTTTAATTGTTAATGGATTTTTCATGTCTCAGTCAATCAGTCATAATTCAAAATAAGATCTGCATTTTTAGATTTAGGGATGCTGTTGGAGATAAATATGAATACGCTGGTATTTTGGAAAGAAATAGATAGCCCACGACATGACAGGTTTGGCACTTGATTAAATTCCTCTCTTCTTTTGCCCCCAATAGCCTTCACTTGTTGTGTCATTCAGAATAATTTATAAAAGGCAATTGTCTTTCTGTTGTTGATATGTACATAACAATAGTTTAATATTCTAATATATTCACAGGAAATCATCGATTCAGGCACTTTGCTGCCACTACAGCAACTTCTTAGCATGAGAGATCCTGAGATTTAAGACTGTTTTCTCCTTAAATAAGCAACACAAAAGTAATATAATCTTATATAAACAGATTTATATTTAACAATCAGTTTCTTATCTTCTATGATAGCAAAATAAATCTTTTGTTTTTTTGTTTTTGTCAAAATGTCTTTATGACCGAGGTTTTCCAGCCCTGGTTGTGGGTCGAGTTTGTGGAGGAGATCTTTGTCTGCTGCCTTAAAAGAGAGAAAGCACTTAAAGGCATTTCAAGTACCAGGGTCACTTCTGTTGAGTTTTATGCCTCCAAAGCTAAAACTGTTCTTGGGCACTGTTCCACAACTGATAGTCCAAAGTACCATGATTGGTTTGTCCTCCTTTCTTCTGTCCATGATGTAACACTTCAAAACTCCACCTTGGTGTCAAGCGTAGTGTCCTTGGTGCTCCATGTGCAGAGGTGTGTGGCTGTGCATGTATTTGTGTGTGTACGTGTGTTTACAAATGCTATCTATATTCCAGGGCTTTGTCGGATGCCATAGTGGAGGTCCAATGAACAACATCGCATGAATAAATCTTTAATTTACCTTTAGAAAGGAGCAGCAGTCCTTCAGTTTGGTAGCCAGAGGATGTTACTTCATTCAAAAGCCCAAAGTAGTGTTTCCCAACTGTAGTGTTGTGTTTGTACGTGTGTGGTGTTCGTGCGCCTATCGAAGAGCCGTCTTCGTGTCTATCCGAGAGTGCACGTCCTGGTAGCCCAAGAGGCAGGGGTCGGTGGATAAGGCATCATGGGTAAAAACTGAGTCGTTGTCAGAGGAGCAGGAGCTGGATGTGTCCTCGCATGAAGGAGAGTATTGTTCAAAAGGCGTTGACAGATCCAAGTACTGAGGGGAAGAGGAAGTTGAATTAATAAGAAGAAATTCTAGAGAAATGCACAATTAAATGTTTTTGAAAATTTTCAGTAAAAATCAATAAAGATTGAACTTGACTGGCTATCACACTGCTATTGAACACATTTTGGAGAGTTGTTTTCATCATAGTTTTGGACCACCAGGTCAGCACAGACTGGTTTTGGATTGGTTGCTTTAAAGATTGTTATGAATGTATCTAAGCTCATGAACACCTAAAAGCAAACAAATCAAACATGTTAACTTCTGGCACATCTGCAAAGGAATAACAAAAAGTGCTGCAATTTCAGCAGCCAAACACTGTTTGATTTTGTGTTTATTGCTTTGAGTTTATAGGATCAGAAATCTGCTCAGCTCAAGCAGTCTGCGTGCTGAACATCTGGGCTGCAGATTGTTGGTGTCAATGAAAATGTGTGCACACATCTTTATGGTTGCAGACGTTACTGTGTGTTTGTGAATGAGTCTGAAACCTATAGGACTACCATGAGTTTTATAAAGTGAACAGAAGGAAAAATTGAACAACAGTAGACTTACACATAACACAGGAACATTTACAGGTGGATAGATTGGTATATATGTTTGAAACCTACCTCGTCAGAAATGGACAGGAGCACCCTGTCCAGTTCCTCAACCAGCTGTTTGAAGGTTGGTCTCTGGGTGGGAACAGCATGCCAGCATTCACGCATCATCATATAGCTGCAGGAAAAAATATATAAGGATAATTTACCATTGGGCACATGTTACCACTGCATTCTTTAGAAAAGATCTGGACAAAAATGTGCTATGCTAAAGATATGTAGTTACTGGTGGTAGCTTTAGTGGATCCAGTTTATTTACTGCTCTTTACTTGTCTCCTACAATGTTTCTTAGAATAGATAGGCATGTTTGCTAACAGTTGAGAGTAAAGTTTAAAAAGAAAAGAGGGCTTGCTTACAGTTCGTGTGTGCAGTTTGATGGTTTGTCCATGCGATGTCCTTCCTTCAGCAGCTTAAAAAGTTCCTCAACAGGGATACCAGGGTACGGTGAACCGCCCAGTGTGAATATTTCCCACATCAATACACCAAATGACCACCTGAACACAGAAAGGTAGCATCGATGATTTCTTTAGTATGAAGCAATTGTTCTCAACTGGATTCGTTCAGCAGTAACCATGGGATAAGTAGAAAGATTAACTCCACTATTAAACAACTGGGCTCATCTGAAGAGTTAAATATATATTTAGTTTTGGCTGCTCCCTTATTTCCCAAGGGGTCGCCACAGATGGATCTTCGCATTTTGTTTGGTGCAGATTTGATGCCAGATTCCTTTTTGAAACAACCCTCCAATTTATCCAGGCTTGGGATAGGTAATAGGGGTATTGAGGTTTTGCAGACACGTGAGCAGTAACCACATGTGTGAAGTGTGACAGCTATGGTGACAATATAGGATCAAGTGAATAAAGCCCCAGCCATACATACTTAGAGGCTGATCCATGGCTACCTGTCAGCAACTTGTCTTGAGGGAAAAACAAAGATTCCCAAACTTGTTGCAAGATGTTGCTGGAGGTTGATGGCAGTTGCTGGAAAAATAATTGCTAAAGGCCCAGTTTGTGCCTATTCCCAGAGTCAAAGTAGAGATCTTTCATAGGTAAAGTGAACAGGTTAGCCACTATACCGTGGGCTCACTATAATGCTGAGGAGTTAAAAGTAGAAAAAAGCAGTTGAAACAGCTCACTAAAGCTAGAGATAATGATAAACTGTGAAGACACAGTAGCTAAGTACATTTTTAAATAAAAAAAATCTTTAGTTAACTTTTTTGCTAGCAGTTACATTACTAGCTAAAAATACGTATTTAAAGATGAACAGTTGAAATGGCGACTAAAGGTACAAACAACATTTTTAAATTAACAGTGAATACAGTGAAATTGGTTGCTTATAGATCATAAATAAAGTAGCAGCTAAAAGTGGCACATAAATAATAAGCTAAAACTTTAATAATTAAAAAGAAAATGTTCTAACTACAACTAAGAAACTTGTAGTCGTGGGCGATCGTGGCTCAAGAGTTGGCCGTTTGTGTCCTTGGGCAAGACACTTCACCCGTTGCCTACTGGTGGTGGTCAGACGGCCCGGTGGCGCCAATGTCCGGCAGCCTCGCCTCTGTCAGTGCGCCCCAGGGCAGCTGTGGCTACAATGTAGCTTGCCATCACCAGTGTGTGAATGGGTGGATGACTGAATGTAATGTAAAGCGCTTTGGGGTCCATAGGGACTAAGTAAAGCGCTATACAAATACAGGCCATTTACCATTTTGTTGTCCAGCTCTAAAATGATTTTAACTGAACACATTTGAAAATGAAAGGTTTTCTTGATGTTGCTGTAAAAACATTGGATAGCACTCGTTAGCCTTACGGGGAAAAGGTTTCAAGGAGTTTGAGTACAAGTTTAGACAAGATGTGAGAAGGAAGGTATAACACTGATATTTTTGAGACTTTACTGTGATGAGTTGAACTTACACATCACTCTGGTGAGTGTAGACTCTGTCAAACAAAGCTTCTGGTGCCATCCACTTCACTGGTAGTCGTCCCTGAAGAGCAGACACGAACACATTAGAGCCTCTCACTACCCAAACTTAACCAGAATCTCATCCTAGTTAGTTGCGCCATGCTCCTGCATGTCTCTCATATGATCTTTCCCCTACTCGCTCTTCATCGACTCTTTTCTAATTAAGTCCCATTAAGCCTGCTGCCAGTCAGAGGAAAACATCAAACATCTGGTTTCAGGAGTATTAAAACTGTAAAGGAAACCAGTCAGTAATAAAATGACTAAGGGGCAGATAGGTTTATAAGCAGCCGTAGATATATATGTACCTACCATGTACAGTACTAACGGGAAAGGGTTGTACAAACTGATTGCTAACAATACTGCAGTAGTATTTCTGAGCAAAAAGACATTAGATCGAGGCATTTAAAAAATAGTATTTTTCCTTTGAAACTTGATTTGAGATGTCAATATTTTAGCTAGCTATGCTGGAAAAATTAAAAGAATAACAACAGCTTAGCTGCACCCTAGTCTGGGTGTTAGAGGCGCAAATTCCTAAAACAAATGCTCCTTAGAAATGTTACTCACATTGGTGGTTTTCTTGTAGTAGTCAATCTGGTGGACTCCTCTGGCCAGGCCAAAGTCAGCAATCTTCATCACATTGTCCTCGGTCACCAGAACATTCCTGGCTGCCAAATCTCTGTGGATGCACTGCAAAGAGAAAAGAAGGGGATGAAAAATTCCCAACACGAGCTGTTGAGTCTCCAGATTAAATAAACAGATTTAAAAAATTTAGATAAAAAAAACACACACACACAATATATATAGTTTCTAAATATATTGCATGTTTCTTTTGATTTTTAGATAACTGTACGACTTATTTCTCCCAATGCATGACAAGCTCTCAGATTTGTGGCGTGACATTTCCCTGTCTGAAAATGCTGAGGTAGGGGAGGTAAAAATGACTGACTGCAGATTTCCCAAAAAGTTAAAAGACGCGGGAGCCTAAAATCAACACACGGTGCCTCAGTTTGGTGAGGTCCGCAAAAATATAATGTCTTTATATAGAAATCCTGGAGTTTTAAGAAAAACAACCCTTTGCGAGGAAAAAAGAAAGCAGTGTTTGCCCACATTGAATGGATGTCATTAAGTTTATTTTGGTTTTCATTTGAAATAGACGTGGGATTTGTGGGGACGTGCGAAATGAGCCAGTCTTGGTTTGTGGGTCTCCCCATAATGGAGGGTTAGATTCAGGCTCCTGCATTCTTCGGAGGCCTTATAGCCAGAAACCTGATGCCTACACCCAGACGAAGGCTCTGCCGGCCTGTTTGCTAACAGATTTATGGCAGCGCTAAAAAGGACAAAGCCATGCAATGAAGGGACGGACAGATGGATGGAGAAGAGTAAACAGGACTGAAGCTGCAGCAGCTCTCTGCTGAGAAATGCCTGTCTGGGAAAGTGACTGGCAGACAAGGAGACGTGTTGATATGAAGCACGCAAACATGGTGCATGCTGGGAAATTGAAAGGACAAGAAACATGTGGATGGGGGTAGAAAAAGGAGAACCGACAGGAAGGACAAAGAGAGGAAGAACAGCTGGTGCTGCCTCAACCAGACTAATCAATTTGAAGGCCAAGTCCCAAAATACGATGAATTACATGAAGGAACCTGATCCTTTCAATCAAAACCACATTTCTTATATTACAGCCTCTTTGGGGCATATATAACTCTGAAGACCTAAAGAAGTTTAGTCCTGCCCTCATTTTATGTCTGCATTACTCTGTGGGGATTCAGACACACTCCAATAGACAGGCAACCTGTCCAGGTTATCAGGGGTTAGGAAAATAGATGGATTGATGGATCAATATGGATACACATCAGTTGGCCCTGTCTCATAAAAAAAGATGTTCCAGTACAGCTAAACTGAATTTTCAATCACATTTTGAGGGAAGTCTGTTTTCTCCCGGACTATGACTGCTTGTATTGTTTAACTAATATGTCTGTATTAGCATATCTTTGCATATCGTTACTTTGCGTTCCTACTGTTGCTGTACTTGTGATACTAATCTGGTTAGCGTCACGAAAGTTTCGACTTTAAGGTGAACAAATGTTTTTTTTAGAAACCTAAACAAACAGCCAGTAGAAATATTACTGAAAAGTTGGGGAAAAAATCCAGAACTACAAAAGAAATAAGCTATAGTTACTACTTCTAGTACATTTCAACTCTTTATAGAGAGCTTACTCTTTTAGAGGCCAGGTACTCCATCCCTCTAGCCACCTGGTAGGCACAGGACAGCAGGTCTTTAAAGGTGAGCTGCTCTTCAGGCACCTTAGTCACATCAAAGGTGTAATCCATGCCTGGAGGTCGTCGGGCTCGCAGGTACTCCCTCAGACTTCCTTTGGAAGCATACTCCACCAGCACATACAGAGGGCCTGGGTGGGGGCAAGCAAAAACAGGATGAAGGGCTGCAACCACCACAGCTGAAACAATCCCTAAATCAGGCAGATCTTCGTTAGATTAATGATAACAAAATGACTTGGGAGGAAAATGAGGAAATGTGTTGGTTCTTATCCAAAATAAAGGTTAGACACTCACCATCCTGTGTACAGACTCCCAGCAGGTTGATAATGTTCTTGTGCTTGTCCATCACCTTCATCAACTCCATCTCTGAGATGAGGTCTGCCAGATCTTTGTCTGTGGCGTCATCTGAGAGAGACATGTAGTTTTATTTAGTTGACATGCTGTTATAAGTAAGATCTGCCAAGTTAATCTCAGGAATTATTTCGCTGGTAGTATTCCTTTCTTACCTTTGAGCATCTTGACTGCTACAGTAGTGGCTTGTTCTGGACAGTCCTTGTTGATGCCGTAGGCTTCAGCTCTGACCACCTGACCAAAGCAGCCTTCTCCTAGAGGTTTACCCAATGTTAGACTAGAAAGAGAAAGGGAGTCTTAGTGAAAATAAGTATGTCCAAAAGAAAACTGTACAAATCCATAATTTGAAGCTCCGGTTTCTAAAACTATAGGTTTGATGGAGCCAAAAATGTCTTGCGGGCTTGTTTCTTTTTTGGTTCACACATGATGCGAGCGCTACAATGTTTAAATGAGTACAGATCCCGGCAGCCAAACTAAACTCAGTGAAGAAATACTTTTAGCAAGGAGCAGACACTTTAAATGTAGTTGAGGCTTAACAGTTCGGATTATTTAAATATATATATATATATTGATACAAAGCATTTGTGATTGATTATCATCTACATCTCAATAAATAATGACAGATGACTTACTTCTCCCTGGGGAACTCCCAGTCTGGGTCATAGGGCAACTCAAACTCCATGACTCCAGCCAACATTGGTGAACAGCTGGAAGACAGGCGAGCCACCCTCATCAGAGATGCGCTGGACTTCCCTGACGAGTTGGACTCCACTGAGTACTGAAGAAAGAGATAAAGATGTCAGGTTTTAAGAGGTTTGCCTTCAGATGCAGTTGGATCATCCATTGTGTCATAGCAGGTTATGAGACGTACCTGTCTGCGAAGAGGGAACTTGGAAAGCTTCTGCACTGGGAGTGCATCAAATGGCTCCCTTCTGGGGTTGACCTGCATTCGGCACAACACCACGATGACAATGGCCATGATCAGAGCCAGGAATCCACAAGCATAGATAATTATGTCGCTATATTTGGTTTCCATTGTTTCCATAGCATCTGCTGCTTCTTCCTCTGCAGGTACAAGATGAAAAATTAGAGGAAAAAAATGTAATTCAATAGGAGAGGGAACTCAAAACAAGAAATGATTAGTTGAAGGTTTGTGGAGTATTTGATGGCAAACGTGCTATATATCAATGATTAGCTGAGCAAAGCAATGCTAAAATATTTTGAAAAGACCATGCAAAGTAGTGTAGAGTGACTTTTTTTATATAGTTACGTTGCTTCGTTCTTACCTGAAATGACAGTGAGCCAGGCAGACTGGTGGGCATAGCCAATTGAATTTCCAGCCAGACAGGTGTACTCTCCAGCATCCTCCATGGTAACTTTGGACAGGTAGAGGACCTCCACCTCGGACATGTTCAGACTGCCAGTCTGCATGACACAAAATGCAATGATGGGGCATGATAAGAGCGCTAGGAAGAAGTTAGGTTTGGAAGCTACCAGAGGAGTTGCTGTTAACAAAACGTGAAAGGATAGCATCTCGTTGTATTACCAACCTTGAGGACCTGAACGTAGGGGGTCCCGTCAGGACCATAGCGTCTGCCGTTCCTTTCGATGTGCTTGAGCCACTGAATGTGAGGTTGGGCGTCACTGTAGACCTTGCAGTGGAACTGGACGTCACTGCCTACCACTGCTGTGGTGTTGGCTGGCAAACCTGCCTGCAGGATCGGCCTGTGGGGTGAACGCTCTGTTTTTGGAGGAAATCACACGGAAGAGGTAAGCAAAGGGAGCAAAGATTCAGACTGAAAAATTGTTCAAAGATCAAGAGAAACCACTCAATGCATTTGCTCATCTCAAAGAAACAGCAGAGCATATGGAGACAAAGGTTAATTTATCTGTTAGGCATGTATGAAGTTTTAGGCAGGTAATGGGTAATCACCTGACTGCCTCTTAAAGACATTCATTTGTTTAGTCATTTAAAGCCCACAAAAATGCATGCTTTGCAAATAAGCTCCTTAAAATAGCCAGCAATTGTCATTGTCACCCTCAATATGTTTCTATGCTGGCAAAAGACCAGGAAATGTCATTTTGGAATGAAAATTGGTTCCATTAGCATGCCTATTTGCCGCTAGTCTCTTTGATCTGTGGTCACTCTCTCTCTCTGATCTCGTTAGCTGCCTCGTTAGTCTTTTCCCCCCGTCAGCAGGGACGGAAACTGACCCTGCGGTGGAGAGATAGCGAACAAACGAACAAACAAACCGCAGCACTGCTCGATCTCTTGTCACAAGTCAGGTAGAAAACTGGAGTGGAAGTCTGACCATCCACATCTTGCCCGCCGCAGCCCGACACCAGGCACCCCTGTCACCATTTGCTCACTCGCTCAGTTATCTCCTCTCTCAGACTGGAGCCTTAAATTTGAAGGAATTCTGCTTTTTTGTGCTGACCAATGCTTTTCAGCCAGATTGTATAATCCAACCAATAAAGATTTTCTGTTATTTATGGCTTTAGTTTAGTGCTTACTCGTGTAAGGGTTGTGTTCTTCACTCTAGATGTCACAAGATATGCTTTTTTGTTTATTTTACTTTTTAAATATGAACATTAAATATGAGAAGCATGATCTTTCATGTCTTACCCAGAACATCAAGAACATAGCTGTGACTGATGGAGCCATATTTGTTCTCTACCACACAGGTATAGTTTCCTCTGTCTGAGGGCACAACACTTTCCATCACCAGGCTCCAGTGCTGGTGTCGTAGCTGGCAGATAAAGTACAAAATTATATGAATAAGAGAGCAAATAAAAACACAATCTGTTTATGTCGCACGAGATGACAAACTGAAACCTTCGTCACCTTGATGCCTCCAATGCGATGCTCTCCTCTAAATTCGCGTCCATTTTTGAGCCAGCGGATGCTCGGCATGGGGCTACCCATAGCTGGACAACGAAACTTCACTGTGTTTCCTGCAGGAACAGCATAGAGTTTCTTCTCCATACGCTGGGGATGTGTCCAATACGGTCCTGCACAGACAAAGAACCGCAAATAAGCCGTTAAAGCACAAAATTCAAGAAATGCAGCTGCTAAATAAACAGCAATTTTACCTCTGTAGAAGTAAACTTGGTCATTTTCAATCTCAGCTGAAGAATCCTCCAAGTCGTTGTCCTCATCGTCGTCCCCAGATCCCAGCGAGTCTGAGACGAAGACATGTCAAAAACCATTTACGGCTGCCTCTAATCCTCATTACTTAAAAGCTTTTTTTTAAAACCAGTGACTTTATATATAAAAAAAAATCCAGTAAAGCATCAAAACTGCACTGCGGGTGCTCTTACCTGCCACAGTGATAGTGAAGTTCCTCACAGGCTCTTTGGATCCCCGGAGAACACAAACATAAACACCTGAATCTTCATATGTTACGTCTGTGATTTCCATGATGGCGCCTCGCATCTGGATCCGGGGTGTGGGCAGAACACGTGCACCCTCCTTGTACCAGTTTACAGCCATGCCGGGCCGGGTGCTCATGTCACAGCGCAGTTTTAGGACGTTGCCTGGCTCTAACAGGAGATGCTCTGTGGTGTCCTCACTCAAGTCCTCGAGAACATCTGCTAAAAGCAGGCATGGTATTAGCTTGCGGTGCTGAAGGCTCTTCTCAAGTTTTTATGATCAGTCTGAACACCCTTTTCGAGCTCTCCTTCTCCTTCTCTTTATTTCTTTTGTAGCTCTGATTATCTCACCACAGAGCCCAGTCTAATCGCTATTCCTTCAGTTATGACCTTCAGCTCCTCAAACTCCATTATCTCCAGTCCCCACATACACACAAGCACAATGACATTGCCATGGAGACAGGGCCTTACTGACCCGAGCCACCTCCACTCCCCCTTCCCCTCTTCATCTTTTTGTTCCCCTGTGAATTGTTATGAGACTGAGAGCAATCTGGCTAGCTCTGCAAACTCCCTCAAAAAGAAGCAAAGAAAAGAAACAAGAAGGAAGGGAGACTGAAGCTGATGAACATGTCGCAATGTGACAGCGGTCGCAGAGTGAATATAAAGGGTGGTAAAGGCTCACTAATGATCTAAGAGACCAAAGAGAAGCAAAATCTGTGGAGGTGGATGCCAAGTTTAGAGCTCTCACGGTTGGCAAACATACCACTGTATGGTAAATGTATACTTTCACTTCTCACACCCAAATAGATTTTATTTATTTTTAAAAAGCTCTAAGTGTAAAAGCTCCAGAGTGAGGTTACCTGAGGGAATTTTAGTAGCAGGCATGTCCTCAGTTTGGGAAATGATAATCCCTGTGAAAGGGAAAAGTTGTCATTTAAAAAAAGTAAAGATGTGGGATGTTAAAAATTGACACTAAGCATTTCTATCTAAACAACATAAAAAAAATCATATGCCTATAAATCCTAAATATTCATATAATGATAAGTCTGCCTTACCAGGCAGGACCTCCAGCCATGCTGACTGCATGGCCTGCACTGTCTGTCCCGCATGGGTGTTCTCAGCCATGCAGATGTACTCGCCAGCATCCTCCACAGTGATGTTGGACAGATGGAGAGTATTCACCTTGGATGATATGTTCTGCAGGGGCTGCGTGACAGATTATTTTAGAGTGATGAGAAGAGAACACAGTGCAGAGGACAATAAAACTGCTGACGTTAGCAGATCTGTTCTCACCGTCAGAGCCCTGAGGCCAGGGGGTCCTCCCTGGTTCTGACCTGGTTCGCTGACATTCACCTTCAGCCACTGCACCTTTGTGCTTCCTGGTCTGTGGACTTTACACATCAACTTTGCCTGACCACCAACCACTGCTGTGGTGTTTTCTGGGTAACCTGGAACTATCAGAGGCCTAGTGACCCGAAGATCTGGAAACCAAATGTGGAGATGGAGGAGAGAAACTCAGAAAAGACAGATGATCAGTCATATCTTTTTCCTGTTATTGAGATTTGTTTCATTGTTATATTTCAGATCAGTGACAGCCTCCTTATTTACTCTTTCTCTCAATCTTGAACCTATTTCAGGCTTCACAGTACAGCTATTTTGCAGAATAAAGGAATCAGTAAACTGCTACAAGTCGTCGTAGTCTCAATAACCAAGTGAACAAGGCAAAAATTGTCAAAACACATCCTGGCGGTTTCATTTTACCTCTGAAAGGTCCGGCAACAGAAGCACACCATGTTCCTAAACAACCACAGCCATTTAATGCTACCAGGAACCGGTGATAGAGTGCCCTGATAACCCAGCCACTATGGTGTCACCCTCAGCTACAGTGCCATCCATTCAGTGGGTCACTCACCCACTCACTTGCTGGAGCATATGTGCGCCCTGGCTAGACCTCGCTTTCTGCTCAGTCACTCAGAACGAGCAATTTTCCAGGGCAATTTTCTGTCTGATTGCTTCCTGCGAGCGCTTAGTGAAAGGCAATCTGTTTCCCTGTCGGAGTGAAGTGCTATCTCTTTTTCCAAACACCAGAGTACACGCAGGTAATCCTTTCAGGAACAAATATACAGTCACTACCTTCTGAGTGGAAAATGAGAAATGGCAGTTGGTCAAAAGCAAATGAAAGAAACACCTTGGAGGCAAACAAACTCAACACTTCGTTTGTTTACAGGGAGTCAGAAACGTGAAATCCCAACAAGCCACAATTTTATCTACCGTAGTTAAAAAAAAGTTAGGAAAAAAACCTGTAAATCAGAGAGCTGAAGCACACACACTATACCCACGCTAATGAACTTGCAGAGACAGCGACGGTGCCCCAGAGATGAACTCGCAGCAGAGTGTGAATTGCCACCCAGAGGCGAGGGGGCAAACAAAACACAACACAACACAAACAAACCCGCTCAGCTGGTGCGAGCCAGCCAGCCGGCCAGCCGGCCGGCCAGCCAGCCGGGCTGGCAGCAGAGCCTCGTATGGTACAATGAAGAGGCATTTGTGGCCCAATGCAGGAACGTACAGCAGCAGAGCCCTCAAATATGTACTTTTATCCAATTAGGTTTACTTCCAGCAGGCTAAAGAACTTCCCAGAATTATCCAGTTTCTGATTAACTTTCAAGGAAAATTGCTGGAATTCATTACATTGTCAGTTTGCAGCTCCCACTTATAATTACAAAGCTATAATGGTTTGGGGGCACACATGCATGTAGCATACGCCACCACAGGAAGTATGCATTCAGCATTATTTTATACAAAAGCTGCATTATAGCTACTTCTTATGATGTATAAAATTAATGTTGCTAACAACTGCTGCATTTCCATTTCATAGACATTTGATATATATATATATATATATATATATATATATATATTTTATTTTTAAACAAAATTGATCATCCAGTCATCCTCTAATCTGTGACATGTGTGGTTAAATTATGTCTTATGTTTTATTTTTGGTGATTTACAGTCAAGTACAGAGTTTATAGACAAAAATCTTAACTTAGACTTTTATATAATCTAATGATGTAGCAGGGAAAAAAATCTGGACTGAAAATGAGTTTTCCTTTTGCTGCAGCATACAATTAGCAACATTAGATATATAATTATATTTGACATGCGCTCGGAGCGGGTTTCAAATTAGTAACTGAACATAAAATACCCACAGAATTGTTTCAGGTGATTATTAAAAGCTTAGTTAAAGTTTGTTTATGGCCTACTACAAGATTTAGTTTGGATAAATAAATAAAGTTGGCAGCTTGGAAGGTGTAGATTCTATTATATACCAGAAGTTAGGAAAATGCCGGTCACTGTTTCAAGGCCAGTTGCTGCTTTTACAGCTCTTGTTTTTCTTGACTTTGGACATTATGGTGACCATCAATCAAAGCACCAGTACATGAACTGGTGCAGACAATTTATGCATGTAAAATACAAACCCTGATATCCGGTGCATGCTATTAAAATCTAACTGCTTTTATAACTGTTTGACTATTTACTCACATCTCTTGAGGGGCTTTTTTTGAAGCCCCCTCTTGCACACTGTCGTCGGAACAACAAGTCCCGGCTGGCCTCGACAGCCCTGCAGTCTAAACTGGAGCCACAGAGACGGCTTCTGTTCTCTGTGCCTCAGGGACAACCATCCACCTCGACTTTCATCAATCTACACACATCCTCAAAAAGAATGTCACCCCAAAGTCCTCTAATCTTAAGTATTAAGCTAGTTTATTTTGCAGCAGAAGATAAAATTATTATCACACATAATAGTTTCATTTTTGAAAGCTGGCTGTATAAAAGGCTGATTGTGGCTTACCTCAGTAGAAACATTTTAATGGCACCTTAAACTAACAGTGCCTGGTGCACTGCATTGGCTTCTGTTTATAAAGCATCAGTGAGAAGGCCCTGCCACCCCCCTCCCCATCCTCTACAGCTGGCACGCAGCCAGGCAGATTTACACTTCCGTGCCTCAGGGCCCCGGACAGATCAGGTAGCGCCGTTTACAAACGCTGAGAGCTTCCGACTTCTTCGCTCTTTCTGACTCTCGCCTACAAGCTCTCGTAATCATTTTTCTGTCACCCTGCCTCCCTCTGGGCTAAACTTTCTAAGGAGGGAAAGTGGACTGGTCCACACAATTCCAGATACATAACATATTTTTAAGAATTTAAAGCAGCTTCACTCCTAGTCAACAGATGAATAAAAATGAGACCTGCTATCTGGCTGTGATCAACCTCCCCCCCCCCTCCCCAGCCATATGCTTATCTAAGGTTTATGCAAAGACAAACCCCAAGTGATCAAGTTAATACTAACTGTGTGATATCAGAGCAGAATTTCCTGACTTACCTTTTATTCTTAAGCCATCGGTGGTTCTGGCCGTGACTCTGACCACCAAACAGAGCAGCAGAATACAGAACAAGCAGACCCGCGTCATCTTCTGTGGGTGACGTGCGTGTTTTGTGGGCTAAAAGGGAAAATTAAACGTTGGAAGCCTATTCCGGGCCTCACACTCCACTCGCTGGCATTGGCAACTTCAGAGACCCCCAAAGTCTGTAAACGTGGAGCCTGCTGGGAAAAACAAACACATGGCAGACAGTTATCTGCTGATCAGAAACCTGATTCTCTGAGGAGATCTAGCAGGGGAGCAGCTAAAGACACAAACTTTTCTGTTCACTTTTAAGCCAGATGGCAAAAACACAAACAATTGTCAGGCCAAATAGTTAAAGAGAGAGCCTGTATTGACTGTGAGCAGCTGTATTCTTAACCAGATGTCCTGCTATCTGTCCCACTCGTATGCCTCACATTGTCCAGGCTCTCCTGCGTGATGAATAAGGAGCAGGGCTGTTACTGCCTGTTGTTTGTCAGTGGATGGTGCTTGGTCTGTCCCGGGATAATGGGCCCTTACTAGGAAAACACTTGAAACTTGCCAGGAAGCTACAGAATCTGAAGGAGCAGCAGAGAGATTGGACTAAAAGTTGATGAGACTTCAGGTTCAGGAGGTGGAAACCCAAAGACAGGAGGAAAACAGTGAAATGGGTGATGGTAGTGGGTTTTCAAAATCTGAAATGCACTGGTGTTCTTACCTAGACCCAGATCTGGTAACAGGGCCAGCTACAAAGGCAGTTTTATGATTGGTCATTGTATTTTCCCTACTTAATCTGTGAATCTATAAAATGCTATGGTGCCTTGAAATGTTTTTTTTAATCTAACAAACAGTCCAGAACCACAGTGATATCCAGCTTACTATTAAAGAAGTCAATGAAAAGCAGCAACTCCTCAGAAATAATGGGGGAAAACAGAAAAAGCAGAAAGCTGATTACTAATGAATTAATAATATTGACTTTCAACTCAAATAAACAATTGCAACTATTTTTCAGCTCAAAATAATTTTCACAGTATTGTTAGCTGTGAGTTTTACCTCCAGATGTTGTTATACGTTATTAATGATCGATAAACCTGTTTCAAACATTTTGACTCGCATAGAAAGTGATATTGAAGTACAGAGGTTATTAAAGCGGTCTAAGCATCTGAATGCGGACAAACAGTAAACTGACAGTCTGTAGGAACGCTAAAGGAATAATACACTGGTTTTCTTTTTTCTGCTGCAAGCACAGCCAACTGAGCACAGGCGCCAGATCCTGGTGCGTGCGCTCCATGTAGGCAAGCCGCGCCCACACACACACAGATACGCACGCACGAACACATACACACACTGTTTAAAGAACCAGCTTGCTGAATGAAACGTATTCTTTCTCAATTAAGGACTGGAAAACATTTTTCTCCTGCTGCTGCTAATTCCGCTGGCACGCAGCCTTCCCGTATTCAGCTGGAGCCAAAACACTTCTGCTGTATTGTACTTTTATATTTCAGTACCATAATCCACGCTCAATAAAGCACCTAAGAGCTGTATTAATGTCACACCGTGCGTGTAGTTTACAATCAACTCAAGAACCGACGAATGAGAATCGTTGTTTGTTTCACAGTTAAACCTAGAAGTTTGTAATTTTGGAGCCCGCACGTGAGCCCCCCCTCAGTCAAAAAACTTTGCTCTGCAGAATAAAGGAGCTGATAGTGTTTAGATAATGTTCCTGAAAAATACTTTAATTAAATGTTAAAAAGGATGATCAATCTTTCATTCACGCGTTAATGGCACTTGTGGTCTGATGAAGTTCAAACTCCGCTTTGGGCGATATAAACAATCTTTTCTCCTGACAAGTGGAAAGTTCAGTGTCTACTAATTGATCTGTTTTGCTTTCATTGGGAAACACGCATAAAATTATAAATCTTTCGTCTCTAAACCCCCCGATTAACTTAAAATTAACTCGTTGGTGGGTGAAATTACACTGTGTGTTCTATCAGTCCTATTCGGTTTTTTTCATGATGGATGGTGGGATTATATGATCTATAACTCTCTGGTAATCTAGCCCCCGGTCCGCCGTGCCTGCTGATAGGACAAAAATGAATGAAACTCAAAGAAGCTCCAGCTGTCTCTGTCTGTTTTCACCCACCTTTGCTTTGGGTCTGTCCTCGCAGTGATAATTGGCACCGGTGTGGAAATCACTCCTTGTCCCGGTTGATCCGAGCGAATATTGAAATCCTCATTTGGAGAGCCACTTTTCCCGGTGTATCCTTCCCAAAAATCAGTCTGTGAGCGTGTTTCAGCTTATGTGTATCCGACTAAAATCGAAGCTGAGCCTTAAATCCATCAAAAAACAGTGGCCTGTTACACGAACGACAGCTGTCGGGCTCTTCCAGTGACCCGGGGGAAAGCGTTGCGATCCCCGGGGCAAAGTCCACTGCAGGCTGCCGCTCAGAAGGCTAAATCCACGGAGATAAAGAAAAACAGTCAGGGAGCGAGGAACTTACGAGTAAGAGTTGTATGAAAATGCTGAAAATGATCCGATTTATAGAGACGGGTACAAAACAAAAACAAACAAAAAAAACCCGTGCCCCGTAGTTCAGAGTCCCTTCTTGGTTACACTGCAACACCGTTTTGGATACGCGCGTCTTTACGCAGCGCTTCTTCAAGTTCCACTGCTCAGTGTGTAATTCCCAATAAGCTCTGCTGATCAAATGTGGGGCTCAGCCTCCCTCCACAGTCCTGTTTCGTTCAACTGCTGAGAGAGAGAGGAGCGAGCGACTGCGACCTTCACACACCAGCCCTCGTACAGCACCCTGCTGCTCTCTGGACGGCAGTCACAACAACAATGGTCTGAGAGCGGCCAGGGGAGCAGGAGGAGGAGAAAGGAGGGGAGAGGATAAGGGAGAGAGAGAGAGTGAGAGAGGGGAGGGGTACATCCCTGCCACCCCTTCACAAAACAGCCCCATGCTACCAAAGAGCTGGCAAATAAAACCCAAGACTCTCTCCCCCTCTCTCTCCTCTCTGCAGAGTTGAAATCTAAGTCTAACGGTATTCGGTATTAAAATTGCTAGAAGCATTTTTCTCTCATACAGTAATTAGCCACATAAATCACGCCACTGATGAGGTTTTTTTTAAGGTGTCATAATTTATTGGGGGTTAATTGCCCTTTTGAAGACACAACCAATTAAGTCGTTTTTGTGAGTGAATGTGTGAGAACTGCCTCCCTGTTTAATTGCCTCAATGAAAAAAAGCTAAACAACACAAAACAAGACAATGGCATTTAAATAAATACAGGCCCTGCTTTAAAAAAATCTGGTTGTCACACTTTGTCTTAATGTTTCCCCTCATTTGGAAGTTTTGATGCATTTTAGTAAAACACATGTGGTAAATTCTCAGAGTTATTAGACTACAGGTCTCACAACTCTTTAATCTTGTGAAGTAAAATGAAGTATTAGCATGCAGCAAAGAAATAGGGTTTCTCCAGGATCAGCATGACATCAGAATTCATGCAGAGATAAGGATAACAACTGATATGACAACAAAGTCAGAAGATGGGAACATAAATCACACAAGTACGCTAATTAAATCATTCCTTCTTCCAGATGCAGTTCAGTCTTCAGCCTCCGTGTCCTATAAAATGTCTTGTGTGTCCTTGGCAGGATTTCATCTGCAAACTTTAAAGTAAAGGACAGTGCGTCACTTGAAGCTTTTTATCTCACTAGCAGCTACATATTCTGGTAAAGTCTAATAAATGTCCAAGTTCTTGGGTGTTAGATCCCCATCACCCTCAGAAAGTTAATGTCAGAGGTTTATAAAGAGGTTTTATCCATCTATTCTCACTTAGAAATGTTAGGATAAGATTTGGAATCCTCTCATCAGGTTTCTTTTTTCTGTTGATGTTGAGTCTGTTCTTTCACCTTTGTGTTTCACTTTTTCCCTGCCATGCCTTTACTACTTATAGCAATCTGTGAGAGGCTCTGATCAACAGGACAAGAAACATGTAACCTGCAGCCCATTCCGATTTGTTTTAGTTTCTTTTGGCCAGTTTATTAAATATATCAGATGCTGACCAACATGCTTTACAGAAAGCAGTTAAAACAATCCTTTAACCTAGTGGAGAAAAATAAGGTGTATGCTAATAACATCAATTTCTAGGAGTAATTTTGTGTGTAATCACAGTGCATTTTTTGCTTTTCACACACCATTGTACACAATATGTTCTGGAGTAAGAAAAGCCTAGCCCTGTCACTAACCCTTACCATTTTGGATGTCATGCAACAGCCATACCCTATCCTACCCTTATGTGTTAAATCTGGAATTTCAACTATGAGCCAGTAAGTAAAATTTGATGGAAGGACTGGATCAGCAGCAGATTAGACCCCATGGCTTTGGATAATACATATGGGAGCAAAGTTCAGCTGTCTGCATATTTTTAACCTTGCGGAACATGAAAAACTCAAGGAAGAGCCTTCAAAACTCAGTTATGTCTTATCACAATATGCTGTACATTTATCATAACTGGTTTTGCATGATCAGACTTGCAAGCTAGCTAACCTGTTATCCTATAAATCCCCAAAGCACTTAAACTCCACCAATAAATTCATTTCAGCCTCAGAGAAATCCTTTAGAATTACTGTTTTGTTTTTTTTCCCTCTGCTGCACAGTTTTTATTGTGAAGAAAGACAGGAAGGGCAAAAGAATAAGGGGGCAATCGCAAGCTGCAAAGGTCCTGGCCCGATTCAAACATGGTTACATGATACCTGCTTCAGCCAGCAGGATGATTAAAGAAATCTAAGACTTTAGCTGTGCCTCCAAGAAAGCTCTGCCACCTTCAAAATATGAGATCCAAATAAATCACAAACACAAGGAAAGGATCAAGCAGCACACTCCGTTTACTTTTATTCGCAGGTCAAACTCTTCCAGTGGCCCAAATATGAGCGTGTTTAGCTGAAATTTATGTGTCGAAATAAATTCCAGATTTGACCTTTGACACTGCATGCTGCTACGTCAGGTCAGACTCAGCTTTACAGCGAAAGGCAAAGTACACAAATAAACGAGCTAGTGTGGAAGTCATAAAGCAGATAAGAGCTGTGCTAATGCCAACTATGTGGTCAACTGGTGGGACAGCCTCAAAATGTGTGTGTGCGTGTGTGGGGACATAAATCAGTTTACACGGGTACACTGGGTGGGAAGTTTGGGGCACCTTGTTTGGTTTTTGTGAACCAGTAGCAAGTCGGCATGACATAAATCTTTAAATCTAAGTGTAAAGATGTGATAGGATAAGAAGGGATCATGCAAGATCATGAAGGTAGACCTTGAGATAACAAATAAAAGCCAATATAATGTTCTCTGAGGTAGAGGAAACACAACTTTGTTTGTGTAACTGTTAGCTTGCAAAGTACAGCAGCACAGCCCAGATCCCACAAATGATTAATTCGAGGTCGCCCTCCAAGTTTGGCTTGATCTGGGGTCAGAAAGTGAGGTGTGTCTGTGTGTGTGTCTGTGTGTATGTGTGTGTTTAGGCCTGTGATACCTGTGTTTTGGGAGGGAATAGCAGCGTTAATGATAATGCTCCTTGTTGTTGTGCTAATGAGATACAGTTGGTATTGCTGCCACTTCAATTGCTTCACACACTCACCACACAGTTCTTACAATGAAACCCATTGACACGCCCCTAACTTAGACGCTTTAAGCAAATGCACCGAGTTTGGAGGAGCTAACGTCCGTTTGCTTGGCCGAGCTGCTTCACTTTGAACACAGCACAGTTATCAGTGTCCCCCACAGAAGAAAGAGAATTTGTGGCAAAAGAATTGAGGACTGTTAAATTATAAATAAGACTGCCAGCAGTACACAGACCAAACATTTCAGCCACATGTATTCTATTTACACTAAAAGTCATTTAAAAGGAATTTAAGTTCTCTCTCAGTTGGCTGTTCTACAGTCAAAATTACAGTGGTTCAGGTCAAAATAAGAGGCACCATTTAGATTTTAATTGGAATATTTATTATGCTTATATGATTATTCCAACCATTTAAAATGTGCTATATAATTAGGTCAGTGATTGTGGATGTTATTTACAATACATGTGACCTTTGAGTTTGTGGGTCTTTTCCACTTCCACTACAAGAATTAAAATATCTGTGACCTGCAGTTTCCAAAGAAAGATATAATCTTTTGTAATTGTTATATTTTACGTATTGTGTCTTAAGCCAACTTGTATTTCTTCATACTTGAAAACTGAAGCTTTAAAGTCAGTATTTGGTATGACCACCATTATTCTTCATCACAGATTGAACTCTCTTAGGCAAACTTTCTAGCAATTTCTTTAAGCAGTTTTAGGGAATGGTCCTCTGGGGTTCTCCAAGGGCATACACAACTTTACTCTGGATGTTGGCTGGTTTTGTTCTGTTCTCTGTCAAAATGATCCCACATTGCATCTCTGTGCTTGTCCTGCTCTCACTGCAGTACTCAGTACTGTTGACCATAATTTTGTACTACAGAGATTAGAGTATGCTGTAGTTATTAAAGGTACTGTGCTGCAGGGATTTGAATAATATCTAATAGACACAGTTTTGCTCATGTAAATGCAGAGTTCTCTTAACACACTTTGATTAATTATGGAGTTCCACAGGGTTATGTGCTAGGAACAACTCTGTTTACATTATACATGCTATGCATCTTCTATGCAGATGATACGCAACACAAGTCAAATGACACACACCAATTAGTTAAACTGTAGGGATGTCTTAAGCACAAAGAACTGGATGATCTCTGATTTCCTATTTCTAAATTTAAGTAAACTGAACACTTTGCATTTAATTTTTAATTAGTGTATCTTTAGTTCTGTCTTCCTCACCTCCTCAGCCGGTCACAGCAGATGGCTGCCCTCCCCTGAGCCTGGTTCTGCTGAAGGTTTCTGCTTGCTCATAGGGGGTCATCTGATTGTGGGGTTTTCTTTGTATCATTTTAGGGTCATTGTGGCCAAATAGTTCAATATTTGTCGTGTGTAGACTCTGAAGCAGGGCTGCTTCATCGTAGTCCCTCACAGTCCATGCGATGTAAAACTGGCTTCACTGTGGACGCGGGCATTGGTGTTCCAGCAGTTTCCAGTTCAAGGTTTGAGCCTTTGTTGTTCCTGGGTTGTTCTTGAAGATCTTAACTAATTTCTCATCTGAGGATGACAGTTTGGGTCTCCTTCCAGACCTTGACAAAATGGCTTGTACTTACGTACAATTGTTTGAACAGATGAACTTGGGATCTGCAGTTGTTTAGAAATGGCTCCACGAGACCTTCCCCACTTATCTTAACCTACAGTTCTCCTTCTTACATTTTTACTGAGTTCGTTGGACTTTCCCATTGTTCTGAGTATTGGTCAATACATTGAGTGCTTTCAAACAAGCCCCCTTTATAATGACAAAGAAAAACTGCTAGTTGTAGTCAATTATGATCACTAATGAGAATTTAATAGCCCTTGGCATTGTCAAGTTAAATGACACTGTAAAACCTTCATCGCCATAAACGATTTAAGTGACTGTATGGATGTATTGAGCCTGTATGTATACATTTGAAAGGTCGTGTGCAGAGAAAACCCAAAATAAACTCAAACTTCTACACCCAATTCTTATTTTTAAAGTCATTAAAGAAGTATGCTGTGCAATCATTCTACCCAGGGAAAATAACAGCTCAAAGAAATCTTTAAAAGACAAAGTTACCAGGACATTCATGACCGTATTGAGTATATGTAAACATCTGACTACAATGCACGCATGTCCTCTCAGGACAACTTTGCACTTAGCATCATATTCAATTGTTTATGTCTACTTTAATTTCTAGACATAAACAAATGTAATG